ATGGTCCATGCCATTTAATAGGAAAGTATTTAATATCATTGTCGTTTTATTGACATTTTTAGGTGTAATTATTTTTTTTCCGTTTCTAGAGGCATTCACATGGATAATATTTATCTACACCAGTTTCCTTTGTGATTATCGAGTGTAATAAGACTTTGCCTATTCTATGGACCTACACATGTATTAATCTTTTATATATATACATTTTATTTGACTTCTGTCTAATATTATTTTTCATATATTCTTTTTTTTTTGTAGTTAGTAGTAAGTAGTTTTCGTTACCATCTGCACAAATATTTATTTGCTTAAAAATCTTATATATTAATTTACATTAATTTGAGAAATAATTATTTAAATTATGTAACATAAACAATTAGAATTAGACAAATTATATAATTAGTTCGGGTTAAAAGCATAATTTTGTTGGATATAATAAGGATAGATGTATGTATGGAATTGGTTGTTAAGAGTTAAAAGAAAATAAATCCAAACACATGAAACCCAAGTCTAAAAAGACCCAAATAAGCCCGACTGAGATCTAGCCCAACCCAATTTGTATATTAGCTAAAACGACATAGTTTTTGCACGTAAACTTATGTATGCATTAACATATGTATCTTTTTGCTCGAAGAGAAAGAGGACTGGTCCTCTTCTAGTTCGAATCGGAGCCCATTAATTATCTCTTTATAATGAAGCAGACTCTCACTTTCAATTCTCACTCACTGTAATTTGATTTTTTCTTGTCTCTCGATTTACTGTTATATCTTTTTGGGTTAAATAATTATTTTTTGTGCATAATAAATACATCTCTCGAGTTAAAAAATTTCTTCAACATATAATATAGTCGATTGCCATGGCTGGTGGTTTTGTTGTTTTTGGCAGTAGAGATTCAAAACAATATCCAGAAAAACTCACTGCCTTTGTCGTCATTACCTGCATTGTTGCCGCCATGGGTGGCTTGACTTTTGGATACTGACATTGGTATATCTGGTAAGCTTACATTCAGATCATCTTCTTAAATTAATTTTTTTCTGTAATTTAATTATGATCACTAAATATTTAGTAATGAATTAATTTCACGTGGGGTGATGTTGATGCCTCAGTTTCTATAAAAAATTTTCCATCAGTTTATTATGTTGCTTCAGGTGGAGTACAGATGTTTGTATGTCAGTACGTAATTCTAAAGAATACTCTTTAATTA